ATTTTGTAATTATTTAACATTCTTTGTACTTTCCTATTTGTTTTTGGCTACATTAAAGCATTTTTTGAAAATATACAGTAAGGTTCCATATTACCACCCGATTTTCTCTAAGCCTACTTTCGGACTTTTTGTACAAAAGCCTTCAAAAACCATACTTATAGTTACACTAACGAAAAATCCAATTAGGAACATTTAGTTTAATAGTTACAAGTACTTTTTGCATAAAAAATGTGAGTGTAGTTATGATACCTTGTTTACAATTCACTAAAATGTAATTGGGGTTCCATAATACCACCTTCTCCTCCACAGTATTTTAACTGTAAAAGTCGAGAGTCGTCTTATACGCTGGAATATACGGTAATTTTTTTAATTTTGACGGCTGAATTTTGAGGCCCCTTGATTTATGAGGCCCCACGCGCGCGTCTCGTGCGCTTATGCAAAAATTCGCCACTGCTGGACAGACATACAGACAGAAGGCAGACACACGTGATTCAATTTTAGCTAGGTTGATGTAAATGTAAGTTGGAAGTAGTTTTAAATGTACAAATATATAAAATGTTAACGTTTATTGTAAAATGTCAACGTTTAACGAAAAATGTCAGTGTTTAATGTAACAATTATTGGTTTTAATACAGGAATGTTTTAAAAGTAATATTGATTGTAATTGGAATGAATTATTGGAGGATAGACGGAATAGAAAGAAAGAATATTAAAATAGTAGGAATTTTATAATTTACTATCGTAGGCATAAGTATTTTTAAAAATATTGTCGGTAAATTAAGTTTGTTTGAATTTTATTTAGAATTTGTTTGTCAAATACCTGCTGAAGAGGGACGTACAAGTCCGAAACGCAAATTGTATGTGTCCAGGTAATTGTAAAATAAAACAATTTTAATCTGTGTAACTGTGAGGCTGTAATCTTATACATCAGTATGATAAGTCCTATTAATAGAAATACACTGATATAGTGATTGAAAGAATAATTTTGATTAAATTAAGGACACAGATGCATATTAATTAAAAACTCTTTAATATTTAATGTCATATTGATATCTCAATGAACAGACAGCTTAATTCAAATGATCGAAAGGATTTTTATTTTAAAAGATGCTTTTTGCTATAGTATAGCCACCTTCAGATTATTGAATAGAATGAATTTAAACAATTTACTACAGCAGAAAACCTGAATTTTTGAAATTATCAATATAGAATATTGCAGATATTAAAAGGATGCCATGTTTTAAATTTTAAAATATTCATTACAGCTCAAAAATATTTTGTCTTATTTTTACCATTTGTTCTGATTTTTCAGCTTTATCTTTAATGTCTTTAATTCTAGCAAATAACTGCTGTATAGACTTTTGTGCATCTTCCAAAGCTTCTTTTCCATCGCAGCCGACATTTGTTTGCCCTCGGATAACAGTTCTTATTTCATCATCCAATTGCCTATAATAAAGATACACAAAAAAATTCTTATTCATTCATAAACTAATAAAATCAAAATTAAATAAATAATCTTTAAATAACATTTGAAAAAACCTTTGAAAAAAATATTTAATTTAATAATATAGGTACAAAAAGTTGTAAAATTTAAATTGTTAGGATGTACTTAGAGGTTTCCTTATTGATCTTAAATTTTAATTTTCTGGAATTTGCATTCAAAATGCAAACATGTTTAAAACACAGTCAAAAGAGTAATAAATTACTTTTTGTCTGGTTTATATATTACCAAACATCTGTTAAGTAAATTTATAAAAGTTAATCAGAAACTAATCTAACAGAGTTTGTCATTTCACTCAGGAAAACTGAAATGAAAGTCAATTTCTAAGCCCAGGCAAAAATAACCCAGATGAGAGAGATGAACGAACACTGACTCATGAAACCACAAAAATGTAAACTAAATCATAAGTTCACTTAAATGTCATTGTATGTTATGCTCATGTGACGAGAAATTTTAATTTTAGTATTAACAATTCCAAACTTTCAAATGTCTTAAGTAAGTAAATTTTCTGTTATTATTATTATTAAATCCCAAATAATTTAACTTATACAATAAACTTAATTTTGTGAGAATATATTCCATGTGATTTCATTTCCTGTTTGATAATCTAAAGCATTTTTTATTTCATTCATCTCAAAATACTAACAGTTTGTATTATTGTTTTAGTTTCAAATTATTTATAAATTGAAAATATTAGGTAATATGTTTTCTTCAAAATGGTTGAAAGAATTACTTGAACTTTATTTTCTTTCTTTTGGTAATTTTGAATAACATTAGAGTAGACCTTGATAAATCCAGCTACAAATTTATTGAAATAAAATGTTTTCAATTAGATTTTACTGATCTTCAGTTACAAGTTTTTTGAATTCTGTAGAACTAGTAGCCCGGCCACCCCCTAGTGGGCGTATAAATAATAAATTCGTATCAATGGGAAATGTTTTCCCCTTCCCGTGGGGGAATTCCCCTCCATGGGGAAGGGGTAATCCTTAATCCTCTCCCCCACAGGAAAGGCATTCTAGCAGCAGCAGTGTCATTCCATAGTATAAATCAGCGATTCCCAACCCAGAGTACACAATAGGTTGTTTAGAGGTACAGAAAAAGTTAGTTATTATGGCAGAAAAAATAATATATTATGTATCACAAATTAATAGTATTAAAAAATGTAGGTAAAAATTGTTCCTTGCAACAATCACAAACTTTATTATACATTTCAAAATGCAAAAATAGAAATAAAAACTTATGCTGCTGATTGTACAATGCAACAGATCAATAAATGTTGCGCAGTCGGTCAATGGTAGTGGGGATACCATTACGTGTGATTAGTGATTATGCTACAGACTTTTGATGGTGGGGTGTGTTAACATTATTATTATCTCTCAACAATATCCACACGTGTTATTTGAAAAAAGTATTCTTTTGTTTATAAAAAATATTTTTTATTGTTAGCAAGGAAAAAAACATAGCTAGTTTCTCCAGATTTTCTGTACAAGCAGTAATTTTTTCATTATTTATTCAGTATTTTTACTAATTTTTTATTGACAAGACTATGTCTTGTTTATAAAACTGTACTGCCTGCTGTGTTACCAGCTTAGAGGTATGAAGAAGTACATGTCAAAAGTTGCAATTTGGCATAAAGTATTGGATGCCCAAATCATGCGTGCATAAAAAAAAACCCAGACTTGTAAATACTGAGGGGACCAAGAACTGAGTCAAAACAAAATTCAAAATGGTGACACTCTACAAACAGGCAGTATGAGATTTGCGCATGCATTGCTCATTGGGAAGTTGGAAATGCCATAGGGTACACTAACGAAAAAAAGTTGGAAACCACTGGTTAAATAATAAATTCATATCAATAATAAATTCCTATTACAAATAAAAATAATTTATTGTTAATTTAAAATCATCGCTAAGGCATGCCTAGTGGGCGTTTTAGGCATACCGTTACACCTTACAGATTACAGATATACAAATATTGATACGTGATCAATGGCTTATATATATATACATATATATAGATGTATAATTACAAATTCAAAATAACAACATTGCAAATATGAAAATTTTAGAAATTAATAATCAAAATGTAATAAGTAATAAACACTGAAAATTAAACCTTGTAAAATAGATTAAATTAATAAATATCAAACAATTTAAAATTTGTAAGATGTAATTCTTAATAAAATGCTCATAACAAATAGACACCCATGATTGCCATAAATAACTGAGCTATAATTTGGAAATTAATTATGAATTACAAATAAATTTGGCACTAGAGGCCAAATTTATTTGTACTGTTGCTTGTCAAATTGCTTAATGAAAGTAGTCCAGAATAATATCTACCAATTCCTCCTGATCTGCAAAGCATTTCTCCGAGCAGAATTAGGAGGCCTGCAACGTTCTCAATATAGTCCAAATTTAGCCCCCGTCAGATTTTCATTTATTTGGACCTTTAAAGAAATTTTTGGCGGGGGAATGCTTTGCAGATCAAAAGGAATTGGAAGAAACCGTTTTGGACTACTTCAAGCAACTTGACAAGCAACAGTACCATAAAGGCATGTTTAAAGTAGTGTCATGCTGGGATAAATGTCTCAACGTTTATGGCAATTATGTTGAGAAATAAACAAAAGTGTGTAGCTTTTGTGGAATGTATTAAATAGTTTTTTTAATTATAAATGTTAATGTAATTTTGGCCTGTACCTTTAACATTGGACTCTCTCATACATTCTAAAGAATTAGTAAAGCTCGTAACTGAAGATGATCAATAAAATCTGATTGAAAACATTTTCATTTCAATAAATTTGTAGCTGGATTTATTAAGGTTTAATTTATTGGTTTATTTTGAATTATCCAGTTTTTTCACCTGTTTAAATAGAGAGACTCATAATTAAAATAGTAAAAAATTCACATATTAAATTTACCTTATCTTTAACTTCATACGACCAATCACATCATCTATATTAGATAATGACTGCTCATTGGGAAACAAAGTATTAATGTAATCTACAGCATTGAAATCTGGTCTATCCAAGGGATCTGTACTTGGAAGCACCTAAAAAAAAATTTATTTCCAGAATTTAATATGTAATAGCAATTTATTAACTATATTTTTTAAAATAAATATAAAGATTAAAAGCAAATTTTAATCTGACATAATACAATTACTGTATTTATATATTGTTAAATTCTATTCTGTTTACTCAAAAATTTGTTCTAAAAGTATTCAAGCTATTCCTTTTACTTAGTGAAGTAAAAAAGAATATCATGCTAGGTTCATAGTTTTGAATGCAGTAAAAAATCTGACACAAGTATTGCTTTATGTCAATTGTGCAGAAATTATTTACTATACAAAACTTTAATAGTTGTAACAATGTTTAAAACTCATATTGCTTCTTATAGATAAAGTAAATAAACTACTAAACAGAAAAAATAAGCAATAAAAATGCTTATTGATCTTCAGACATATGTTTAAAAGTTGCATTGTTTTTGCTCAAATGAAAAGTATATACAGAAACTTTTCTGCCTAGAAAGAAAACTTCCATTCTTTCATTAACTCAAACTGATTGGACTATTTTTATTTTGTAAATCTATTATTTGCCACTAAAAAAACTAAAAAAGTTAGTGTGACAGATAAATCTGTTATTATTAATATAGTGGTGTTGATGGAGTGTATCCTAAAATGATATATACATAATATATATTGGTGATAGTGCTATGTCATACCAGGATCAAGGAAGGCATAATTGCAGAACAAGCTATTATTATGCTTACATGCTGTTCATGTATCTATCTATCTATCTGTATTTAAGACTTTCCTGACTAACCTGTGTTTGTAATGGCAGCCTTCTGTAGTGCAATGTATGTACAGTACTGTTGTGAAGACTAATGTTTCTAGACTTTTGCGTGATGCATGTGGTATGATGCATGTGTATACAGAACTACTGGCAGAGTAAGTACTTTACTCTACCATTCTCCATAGTGCAAGTTCTGAATATTTATTTATTTTTTCAAAGTATGTATTATTATTATTTATCTACTTCACACTAATTTTTCATTCATTTATCACAATTTATTCCAACAAACTTAGATCAAACAATAGATCAAAATGTATGTTCATGTAGATATAAATCTATTAGATTAGTTTGAGTATTTTGGGTAGAAATGCTGTGAAGGCCAAGTTATGCCAAATTAGTCTTTAAATCAGAATCAATCAAAAACACATACATATATATTTTGAAATTAAAACATAAGTAAAATCTACTATTAAGAAGAAGGCAAATGGAGAAAACAGCAGTCAGGAAAAAAAAGCTGTGTCAAAGAAACAAAAATGTAAATAATTGAAAATAAGTACTTTTATTTTTCTCTTAAAAATCTACAATTAAAAATTCAATAGTAAACTGTGGAATTTTATATAATCAGTTTGTATAGCATTATTATTTAAGAGAAAAGAAACACTAATAATTCCATTTATATAAAATAATAAATGAATGACATCAAGAGTATAAATATTAATATAGAAACCATAAATCCATTATAAAAAAAACATCAACATTCAGAAAGAGAAAAAAAATATCTTTTTGCTCAAGATAAGATATGTTTCATTTCCTTCAATAATAATAATTTATTTCATTATATCTAGGCCAAAATACAAAGCTTTATCTTGATCACGTCTATCTTCAAGTAGAAATAAGCCATTTGAGTTTTAATTTAGTATAATATCAGTTTATTTACTGTTTACACAAAAGTATTTGAAAATAACATACTTTAATGGATAGTAATTTTTTGATTTAATTTTTTTAAGAATTTATATTCAAAAATTATTAATGCTAAAATATTGGTTGGTTCATATATTAATATTACACATAATACATCAATATATATCAATACAGATATCCCTTGTACCATGAAGCACTTCTACAACATGGTTTTGCTCTAACATGGTTGGAAAATTGGGGACATTTGCTGTACAACACAGTTTCCAGTTTCGCTCTAACACAATTCAAGAATTTGGAAAATCCTCCATACAAAATTTCACAATTTTTAAGTATAAATTCCATTATTCAATATTTTTTTCTTCAAATAAGCATGCACATTCTTTCAAAGTTGCTTGTGGATTTTAGAATATTGAAATTTTCAATTTTTTTGTACATTTCATCAGAAAATTTCATCATTTCATCAGAAAATTTTTGTACATTTCATCATTGAAAATTGTGCAATTTTTTTTATTTTTCCTATCAACCAGGTGTTGTTGTTGTTGCTTTCAGACTTTTGCCCTTAGACTGTCACTGTGTTTTGTTTTTATAGATTAACCTTTGTATTTAGTAAGATTTATTTAAACATAATTTAATAAAGTAAAAATTGCATTACAAATACTAGTCTTCTCTTGCTTGCTCACCATGTCCAATCATCAGAACAACCATTCTTCACTGCAGAGATGACCTTTCTCTGTAGGCTACAGCTCTGCACAAATATGGAAAATAGTCTAAAATGTCCACAGGTGACAATCCCAACACAATTAAAAATATAACATTTTCTTATAAAAAAGGGCTGACTAGTATTTGTAATGCAATTTTTACTTTATTAAATTGTAATTTCCACCAGCCCTTGCAACTCACTAGAACAAATTTTCAATAAATAACATATTTTTGTGATCTACAAAAATTTTTTATGATAAAAATAAAAAAAAATGAAGATGTATATTGTTGATATTTCTGATTAAGATCAACAAAAAGCTCAGGAAATGATGATACTTTGTAAAAAGAAAATGCCCTTGTTTAACTAAAATTAATAACTTATTAATGCATAATACAGTAGATTGCTTTAATAAACATATTTCTCTCAGTAATAAAAAATAATAGTATACTTTTGTTAACTTTTGAAACCATGTTTTGCATTAGTCTTTTGTTTCATATAACATAAATTTGTAACATGGCACTTTAATGGAACATAACTACCATGTCATACATGGGATAGCTGTATTTAAAAGTGTTGTCAAAAATGTAATTATGAAGCACAAAAATACTATATTAATAAAATATTACAAGAAAATACAGGCTAATCTACAAATGACAGCTATTCTTTTTGTTTAAGTTTTATAAAAAATTTAAAATTAAGTTTATGTTTTAAATCATAGGCTATTATACACTCTAACTGAAAATAAATCATGTATTATTTAATTAATCTGACCATCAAGTTCATTGATACTTCTGTAAATATATAAATATATATATACATTTTTTTTTTCAATCTAATCTTTAATTTTTAAACAGCTGAAAAATAAGCATATGTCATATTATGTATGATACACTATAGATAACTACTATCCTTTGAAAACAATATTTATTTTAAAAAAGATAACAATAAATATCCACATTTAAATATGAACTAAATTTCTAATTTATAAGTTGAATAATGGGCACATTTCCTGGTAAAGAACCCTTTAATACAGCTGGATAAGCAGATCAATGATATAGTCTATTTCATTTAAAACAAATTACAGTTGGACTTCTATCTCAAAAATGTTTATCTTGGAAACCTCTTCATCTCTAAATTTATTTTTTCCTTGCATTTTCAGCCTAAATTCAATATATTTTCCATGTTTATCTCAAATAATTTTCTCCCAAAATCTTTATATCTCAAATTATGAACTGAAGTGTCAATTACAAATTCAAAGCTCAGCAATTATATTTTGATAGCATAAATTGTAATTGATAAATATCTCATTATACAGTACATAGTTGCAATTAATAATGTTTTTCTCTGATTGGCTAGAAGTTTGGCTTTCATCTTATTGGTTGAAAAAAGTCAGGCATTAGAAACTATTGATAAACTATTTCTGTTAAGATATGTCAAAAATGTTTTATTTATACCTAATGATGGTATGTACTGTACTGTACTTGATATTGAATTAATAAAATACTGTACCTCCAGTCAAATCTATTACTGTTTGGACTGCAATTTTCAAAAGTTGTAAACTATAAATTCCATAAAAAAACCTCACAAAATCCAATAAATTTGTAAAACCAAACAACCACCGGATTACATCAGGCTACTTTTCTGCAATTATATTAATTAATTTCTAAATAATTTATCATTAGGTGCCATCTCTTATTAAATTTCATAATTATAATTAAATTAATATTTATTAAATAATTTAATTAATATAATTGTGGAAAAGTAGTCTGATGTAATCAGGTGATTGTTTCGCCCTATAAATTCCCACTGGCATTCATCTGTTTGTCCTCCCTTAATCTCAAGAACAGTTAGACAGATGAAAGTCAAGACCAGATATGGAAACCTTAGGGGCAGGAGGCCCTGATTATCTATGTGAATTTCCGATGTAAATCGTAAGTCACATTATTTCAATTCAAAAATTTTCCCCTGAACGGAGTTAGATAGATGACTGCCATGACTATTGTTAACAGGAAAAGTATGATGTACAGGAGAAAGACATTACTAAAACTGAAAACATTGTAATGAAAAATTGCAGCCTGGCATTATGACAATGTCACAATAAATAATTGCTTGTTACTATGTAGGAACCTCTCTATATCTTGAAACCTATCTCCAATTTTCCCCCATTCCCTTGATATTTGAGATAAACAGGTTTAACTGTAAGTCATTAGTTTGCTTATCCATCTGGATTAAAGCTGCTTTACCAGGCCCAATATCTTGAATTCTATTCACACATCACTAAACTCATTAATTAAATATATTGAGTGATCATAACGCTGTCTGAAGAGATATGTAGAAATCCAAACCTATCAAAATTTTTAAGCTGTCACTACTTGACTTGCAGAAATGATTTCTGCATAAAAAAATTTTGTTCCAAAACTCACTACTACAGGACTTGTGCTGTAAAAAAATAGGTAGTGTATGCAGACTGTACATGTGCTATGGTCAATTTCTAGGTCTACAGCATGTGAAACATCATTCATATTACTGCAGATCAGTATATTACCTTATGACCATGCCTGAACTTTTCTTGTGCAGATGTTTAATGAAAACACCTTCAATGTTGTAAGTATACTTTGAAAATTATGACATCTTAAGAAATTGTGTCAAGGATTATTTTGGAAATTTTTTTACTGTGGAAAACTCCTCTGCATGACTGGAAATGTTAGAATACAAAATTTGGTTGAGTTTAGAATGCTACACATCCCTCCAGACAATATTGAGTAGAGGTACTTTAAATGTGTTCATCCTGATTTTAATAACCAAAAAAGATTTTGGTTATTAAATCATCTCCTGGTCTCTGAAAATATAAAGTAAACAAACACTATTAATATACTAATGTAAAACAGGAAAATAATATAAAAACAAACCATTAGTAAACTATCATTTTCTGATAAATAATTTGTTGAACTATATGAATATATGAAAGACACAACTTAAAAATACCTTATTAAATAATTTAGATAAAGAATAATCTACATAAATAAAAATGTAAATGTTTGTTTGTTCAAAATCTTAAATCTCTGAAAGTTCTTCACTGATTGCTTTGAAATTTTGAAACGTTTCATTCGAATACGCATGTGTTTTTATATTACAGTATATAGATGTTGAAATTCTCCCCCTCCGTGGGGGAGAGGGACAGGATTAAGGCTGACCATGAAGAACTCGGCTTCTATTATACTATTTTAGATGCGGTATTTTGCATTTTTGATTGCATTTTAATAGGGTACGTCAAGAGAATGTATACTAAGAAGGGATTTTTCAAAATTCCCCCTGTGGGGAGTGTTATACATTTATAATAGATACATTTTGAGCCACAGCAACATGTGGCCGGGTACAGCTAGTTATTAATAAATGTTCTATGTATCACTATTTTCTAGCTGAATATAAAACCAACAGCATATTGATATTTACAACTAGTGTAAAAGATATAAATGGCAACATCATAAATCAGAAGTACATAACCTTCCCTTTTCTCTTCATGACCCTCAAATTTATATATGAAACAGACAATTCCTGGAAATTATTTCTTAACTGGTAACATTCCTACAATCCCACAAATATCTTCCATAATTCCTAAGGACATTGTGAACCTCTATCACAAACTGTTCATGATCATTGTTTATCTTGAAATTAAACAAATTTAATTTATGATTTATTTTGCTAGGCAATACTTAGACAAGTATTTGGAAATACAGTATAAAAAGAAATTCTAAACATACGAAGAAATGTAGACATTATGTAACAAAGCATCCATTCAGCATGCAAGACCATGTAATACTGAACATTTTGCTTTTAGAAGTCACATATACAGAAAATTTGTGTAAATTTATGTGTAATTTCTAAAATATGTATATTATATCTAAAACTAAATGTATAATAAAATATATAGAATTCTGTTTTTATAAAGTTTGTTAGTGAGCAAACACTATAAAAACCAAATGTTGTTAGCTCCAAGTATAATATGTCAGAGGATATGAACTTTTAAAAAATTACCTGAAAGGCATTCGTTGCAATCCAAAAATGCTTAAATATTTAATATCCATTTAGAAATTATAAAAATAAATAATAATAATAGAATAAACGAGGATGCAGGCCTACAGATACACGAATCTTGGGAAGGTTTCCCAACAGATAGGGAGTGAAAAAATAAACTAACATATTTGTGAACCAGAGGGAAACACACCGAAAGGCAAAATACAGATGTGTAAACAAGACATAGCTTGAAAATTTCCAGTGTGTAAAATTGTGATACAGTATGGATTCATCAGATTCCACGTTTTTGTATCGAATAGTACAGAATTTACTTTTCAAATTTGCTAGTCCAGGATAACACGTACTCTTTATTGGATTTTATTGCGTACGAGTACGTACTTCGAGAAATTTTTTCAATAAAGCTAATAGTGTACGTGCACATAACTAGAAATCCACAAAGAGATATATCACGACCGAGGAGGAACCCATTTAGGTCCAAAATGCACATCATAATAAATACGTAGAAGAAAATTGCATCTCGAGGTCATTCCGTCGCGCGGTCGTCCAGTTCGATACGTCCGTCTACGGGAAAAGTGCACCAATACGAAACGCAAAAAGTAAGTCGACGAACAAAAAAACAATCCAAATAATTTAACATTCGGTCGATCTCCAACAAATGCCATATAAATTTTATGCTCGAATGCATTGTTTGCAGAGTATTGCTATTCACATTACTTTAAACACGTATACTCATTTTATCCATTTATACTCGTCCCGTAAGCTACGCCAAGACCGCTCGAATTCATAGTCTCGAATCTTTGATTCCGTTTTCATTAAAAATATTTGTTTATAGATCAAAAATCATATTTAGAATATTTCAACTAACATTCTTAATTAGCAAACTTCCGAACATTTAAAGATTTTTGGAAAGTTTTTTTTATTACTTAAATTTTGATATTTTCAAATTTCTATATTTTCTCCGAAATTTTATATATTTTTAAACATTTTATACTACGCCGGCTACATGTAAATAAATCATTAATGCTTAACGATGCACGAGTTAAAATTAAAAGTGATAAGTGCATTTCGTCATTAAAAGAAGTAGAAGTTACTTTTGGATCGATCTTCATATATTTATATACGTAACAATTAACTAAAAGTAACTTCCACCGATAGATGTGCACTTTGAAATTGATTAATTAATCAAAACCACGTGGCTTTTAACTTAAATCTTACGAAATTTTAACACCTTAGAAAGTCCTACTAAATACGAACAGACCTGTTCAATCGCATATTGCACTTCTGCCGGAAAGGATATAAAACTGTTCAAATTTTCATCTTCAAAAATATCATCTTCGTATTCGACATTACAAACATTTGCCATTTTGTCAGCCTACTTTCATTTCAATTATTATGACGAAAATTGAAAAAATATATATATATAAATTTCTAAATTATTATTCGATATTTTAATTTTAAAGTNTTACAAAAATGTTAAAAATTTACTTAAAAAATTTATATTCTTAGAACAATATGCAATAAATATATTCTTATATTAATGAATTATTCATATGCATTGAATACAGTAATACCCCAAACTTACGCGATAGGTGGGATCGAGCGATAACAGCGTAAGTCAGGGTATAATTTCGCAATTTGTGTAAAATCCGAGTCGGATGTATGTAAGCTAATAAATGTTCTCGTTAATCTTCTCATCTTTTGATTCGTTCACGGGTTACAAGAAATCACCACATAGAGTCTCTAAAGTCTCCGTAGATATAACAAATACAGAAATAAATAACACAAAATAAGTTGTAGCTATGTGTTGATTCCACGCGACACGTCCGAACATGTAAGTTGAACAATAGTGTGGGGGGAGTGAGTAATCGAGAGTTGCGTGACACTCAAACAAAAGACGAATTGATGAGATTTGAAAATTGAGTAACTCTGGGTTCGTGTAAGTCAGGGTAACGTAAGTCGAGGTATTACTGTACTCTATTTTTAAGTTAGCCAAGTTTTTGATTAACTGACAAGGCAAAACTACAAAACTTTTACATATTATGTCTGCTTATCGTAAGTCGAGGTATTACTGTATATCAAAAACTGCAAAACCTTTTAATTTGACACAGTTTGAACATTCTGTATATTCAAATTAAAATACCATACAGTGATACCATACTTCAAATGACTCTAACCTCAAACACTTCAGAGTTCAAATGCCTAATTCAACAAAAAGTTACTTCAAATTTCGAACTGTGTGCACAGTGAAAAAATGCACTTGAAGTGTAAAATAAGCTTCTAAACAAAAAATACAATCATATATATCAAAACCAATAATATGTTAAATTGCACAACTGTTAAAATTAAATAACACATCAACAAGTATGTTAAGTAATGTAAAAATATGCAAAAACTTTCTGTTCAATCAAATAAATATAATCTGTACTCATGAATCACTTATTGAATTCTTAAACAATAATACAGTCGACCCCCCTATAATTACGGTCCCTATAATTACGATTCCTATAAAACTACGAAAAAAGACCGGGTGATGAGGTCTCGACATATCCGAACGGACAGCCCCCGAAAAATTCCTGGAAATTTTTTACCTGTCCGGATTCGATCCCGGGCCCCAGAGCGGTAGGAAACCATCTTGACCGCTCGGCCATCAAGCCGTCGAAGGATGAAAGGTTATAAAATCAGACCGCATCGTTTTCTACCGCCATATTTGGAAACCACGTGACCTTGACGAGTCGAAAAAACTTCAAGAATTTTTCAGATGGTGATCCGTTCGGATATGTCTGTCGGACCCCGTCCCTCACCTGGCGGCCTCCCATTGTGGGCCTGGCCGAACTCATAATGGGCTTGCTAAAAGAGATCCTCTTAGTGCCCACAGGGCGGAGAAAGTTTTAAAAAAGTACAACCTTCATTTCAAAAACAAAAAATACTTTATTAAATAAAATAATTGCCATTAAATTCAAACACCTTCCATCGATCGGCCGAGTCACGGGTTTCTTCTGAATAAAACTGAAACTGTTATGATTCGAATAACTCTGCAAATGCGATTTTCATCTCCTTATCATTAGTAAACCGCTTTTCCACCCAAGAAGCGATGCATGGAGCGGAAGAGATAGTAGTCAGATATTGCAATATCCGGGCTATATGGGGGTGAGGGAGAACTCAACCGAAATCAAGCGGCATCTGCCGGGTTGACACGTGTGGTCTTGCGTTTCGTGAAGAAAGCGTATAATGTTCATCAGCGGACGAATTATGATAAACTAGTTACAACCAAATGAAACTCGTTTCTCGCGTGATCAGGTATTTGTTGGCTTCTACCAGTTGCCGCAGCTCGTCATTCGACAGGATGGAATGCCTGCCTGAGCGTGGCTTATCTTCGACTTCATATTGTTCAATTTTAAATTTACTGAAGCAACCTTAGATTGTAGATTTTGATAAGACGATCTTGTCAAACGACTGCACCATACGGCAATAAGATTCAACTGCTTTTATACTAAACTGATAATCAAAAAGTGCGCGAATTTGGTCAAGAGAAAGCGTTGGCGACCCTGACATATTTAAAAAGTTGGTATCGCCACACGAAATATCTTTTCATTTATAATCATAAGTGTACCTCAACACCCTTCATTTACATATCCCACAAAAAACTGTACCCACCAGTGGCCGAGCGGTCTTCGTACCCCGAAGACTGGGAGTTCGGTCGTGGTCCCGGAAAACTCCACGTGGTTAGGACGGGCTGGCCACGTGGAGTTTTCCGGGTTTTCTCCGCGTCTGTAACGCCTAAATAGGGGCCAGTTTCGCTTAAAAAGACCTCCCGGAAAGCATTCCCTAGGCGGATCGCCCAAGTGTTGCGTTACCATAACATAACAAACAAGAAAATTCATCTGTCAGAGAAAACTTTTGAATATTCTAGAAGTCTAGAAAAATCAAAAAATTTTTCATCAACCCAATAATTTGAAAAATTACTATCGAGTTATTTGTAGCTGCTATTTTTGAGCTTATCATTAATAGTGATATATACGAGGGCGGTTTTTTCAAGTTCCGATGGTCCATAAAACAAAGACAAGTGTAAATAACAAACAGCCTACGTATATTATTTTTAACAACTTAGTTTTAGATGTTATTATTAATTGTGGAAAAAGAAAAAAAAAAAAAAAAGAAAAATAACATCCATCATGGTTTTGGCTAGTCCCACATTATGGCGATGGGGTGATAAGAGAAGAGATCAGACGTATTCCTGGTAGACCATCCCCCAAAAATTCCTGGGGTTTAAAACCTATTCCGAGTCCTCTAGAGTGGTAAGTTGTCATTTGGACCATTCGGCCATTATACTTCAATATGTATTCTTATAATTTTAATTTTTAAGAACATAATATTACTATTTTCTTAAAAATTATTATTATATCTTTATAACAACAACTTTTTTCCTGTTTTATATTATTCATAAATTTTTAAAGTTGTTCCACAAAATTTATCAATAAATAAAGACAAAATTGGGAGAATTGAAATTTTAAATTTAAGAAAGCCTTCTTATCAAGCTCATCGTGGATTCAGCCAAGCCCACAATTGGGTAGCTGGGTGATAAGAAACAGGACCCGATTTATCAGAGACGGATTGCCCCAAAATGAAAATATTTCTAAATTAAATTTCTATGAATTAACAATGCGATGCTAAACTGTAGAAATGTTATTATTTTATATTCAAAATTAAGAAAACATACATAGCTAATATAAATGAATACAGTATTACATATACAACAATACAAAAACAGTCTGTGTTGCCTTTTCGATGTAACAGAAATTTTTAAACAAAGTTAAAGATGTATCGTCAGTCAATTCATCTAAATAATTAAAAACTTGGCGTAAAAATCTATTTTATTGTTGAAGCATTGTTCTTCAAACTTTAAAATCATTGTTGGGAACATGAACATTAAATTCTTTACCATCTTCTTCGTGACTGGAATGGTAATGGCTGGTGAACATACGTCAACATGGAAGAATTCACAAAAAAGAAGACATTCTACTCGGAATGAGATAAAACCTAAAAATAATTTAATCGCTTCGCGTGTAAACTACGAGAATATTAGAAGTGCTAATTCTAAAGAAAATGAATTAAATTACAAAAGATTCGTGCATAGGAACCGGAAACTCCATCATAAACACAGAATTCCTCACTTCGATCATCCAAAATTTAAAATGGAACATCGTAAAGAATTTTTATTTGGTAAAAGAATAGTTAAAGATGTAAACGATAACAGAAAACAGTTTATAGATGATTATTCAAACTCGGATAATTTAAAAATTGTCGCAAAACGGGATAATTTGGAAGGGATTAACAGATTGGTATACATCAATAAACCATTCTATAGCTTCATAATAGTAAGTTTCTTAGTAATAGGGACTACATTGGCTGTTGTAGTAACTACAAAATTATATTACTGGAAAAGAAAACGAATGATGTCGAACGATAGCTGTTATGAAAAGTGTCACGAAGATTGTTTACAATCTTTACTTTCGGAAGAAGATGAAAATGAAGAAATTCAATCTAATGTTCGGACAACTCACGGATTTAAGCCATTACAAACACAAGGAAAATACATAAAAAAAGATTTTTTGTCTTCCCAACGAATGTATAAGTCGCGAATGAATTCAGATGTTCATAAAGTAAATCATTGTCAAATTGGTGATACGAATTTTACAGATGTAAAATTATTCCCTAATTTTCGTAAAGATGCGGAAGATCAAAATTTATTGAGTAATATTTCGAAGTATAAGAAAGAAGTTGGGAATAATTTCAAAAGACTCGATTTAACTAATCAAAAATTAAAGTATAAAATATCAAATAAGAATTCGAAAAATGTAACAACAGATTTTTCAGAAAATAATTGTAATGTATTGAAAATTTCTCCACCTTATCCTGACTCTAGCAACTTAAATGATGTAACAAGATTAAGAATGGACGAAGCGCAATATTTTACAGATTTATCTTACACTGAATCAAAGGAAGAAAGCTTAAATCTTAGTAGTCAAAATGAATATATTTCTGATACAGTATCAGAATCTGATATTGATAGTGAAAGTTTTAAAATCGGGAGTGATTGCCAATCGCTAGTATCCATCTTAGTTCATCATTTTCAAAGATGATATCAATATTGAACTGAGATTTTATTGATTTCGTAAAATAAATTTAATTTCAAAATTTGCAGAAGTTACATAATTATATACATACAGAATATATGTGTGTTTATTTTTGGCACTTTCCTCTCTGTACGAGCCTTTTTTTCATCGTCCAAGTCTAATGGGAAACCCGGGTAGTAAGCGATGAGATCCGACATATCCCCCCAAAAATTCCCGAGGCCGGTACTTCGCCGCCAATGTGGGCCATACCAAGCCCGAAAAAGATTTTCTTACTGCCCACAAAGTAAAAAGAATACAAAATGCCCACAAGAATACAAAAAATACCTCCATATACAACATCAGTCAAAAAATTCCCAAATTTTTCGAAAAATTGAATATTCTTAGCCATTAATCAAAAAGCGCTAATAAATTAAATACATTTTAATATATAAATTAAGAAAAACTTGTATAAAATATTATTAAAAAATTTTTATTTTTTATTTTAAATGTTTTCAAAAATAAAAAAAATAATAATTGAATAAAATTCTACTGTAGTTTTTTAGTTTTCCATTTTGAAAAACATTATTTGTAAATTAATAAAATTTCTAAAAATTATTTTAAAATTGTATTAAATAATTTTCGGAATATATTTTCTGAAAAAAAAAAATTCCCAGTAACGAGTTGCTTTACTTTCCCGGCAAGATTTAACACTGCGTATGTGGCGCCATCTGTTACGATATTTTATTAGTAAAAATTTTTTATATTTTTAACTATTATAAAATGGCAAAAACCTTAATTTTGAAAGTAGGAATGGGTTTTATAAAAAATTGTAAATGCTAATAGCGAATAAAATCAACCCTACTAGAGATACACGCGACCCCCTTTATCTCCCTACTCCGTCGACCTTTAATTACCAAAATTTAATAGCAAAATTCGAAAATTTCTGAAATTTTGCCTTTAATACCCACCTCTCTGCAAAATTTCAGAAATTTTCGACAAAAAGCGCAAGAGTTAAACTCCAAAAAGTGTGGAAAAATCGTGCTCCCACCATACTCACTCACTAATACAGATAAACCCCCCGAATATATTTGCATTTCTCGACGTTTCCAGGTGTTCTAAGTGTAAAAATATTGAGGGGGTGGCAGTATTTTCCCTCTGTTATATAGAACAGCCGGAAAAGTAAAAATAGCNTTTTAAATTTGTTTTACTTAAATTTTGCAGTTCTTATTACGATTTTTCTCATAGAAGCAAATTCTACAACTCCACCAGATTTAACATTTTTTTTAATGGAAAAAATTAAGCAAAATATACGGCATAAAATGCAAATTCTAATAAAATATATCTTAATTAAAAGCTAAAAAAATAATTTTATGCATAAAGAAGCATCAGATTTGAGCATTTTTCAATGAAACACCAACATGTTTATAAGCTAGCAGGGGCTAAGAAATGCCTGAATTTAATTTTATTCTCCCAAAAATTGACTTTAATATTTATACATTATTCATTTATTACATTGTAATATTATTCATAAATTTATTTGTTCATATAAAGGGATGATGACAACTAAAATTGAAGGATTTCTTTTTTAGGCCATAGTCGCAGCGTGTCATTGGACATTATTAGAAAAGAAAACTCTCTTAAAATATTCTAATAAACTTGCTTGATGCGAATATGTTTTACTATGTGTTATGAGCTCCATTTACATCCTTATTAAACATAAAAGCTCGCTTCCCTATTGAGCGATATTATTTTTGATAAAAATAAAATACTTTATGTTTATTTTATGCATTTTTAGATAAATTACAAATAAATTACTGTAAAACCTGTTTAAACCGGACAGGATATTTCTTCCGTTTTAGACAGGTTTTTTAAACACAGGAAATCCCTCCGTTTCGAAGAATTCTTTCCGCTTAGACGGGTTTCCGTTTTGAACAGGTACATAAACGAATAGAGTGATGCGGATCAATGGCAAAACTTTCGTCTCTTTTAGAGGAAAAACTATACATTTGTACTTCTTAGTATAAAAAAACTAAGTACAGAATTAGAATATGGTATTTAACGTAATAAAATATGATCCCAATTTTAGTAAATTAGCATTAAAAAAAAGGAAGCTCGAGCGAGACAAGTTATGAGTTACGGTGCTCTTATTCATTCATGTAGTTATGAAGAATGAACTGTACAACAACTTTCTCATTTCCTGTCCGTGTAATTGCTACGTCAATTCTAAAAACATAATTAAAATATTGTCATAACAAAAAGATTACTAGACATATACAAATCGCCGAATTAAGAAAATGTGATCGTTCATGTTTTTTGGAGGATTGCAGTATCAATTAATCAATTCGAAATGTTTAATGGTGTGAGATTTTATTCCTGTTTAAATAAAATTATACGATGTTTAGATTATTTAAATATCTGTATATGATTTATTAGGAGTTTAAAAACCTTAATTAAATTAAAAATTGAGTTTTTCTTGGAAAGATTCGTGGCTCCTTCTATGGTTTGTCAATTACATTCTTCGTGGATATTGTTGAGCGATCTTCTTGGGCTTTCTATAATCTTATAATTTTTAATTTATTTTATATAAAAGTTTGTGTTAAAGCTATTAAGGACTTTTTTAAAGAAAANATGCGAATATGTTTTACTATGTGTTATGAGCTCCATTTACATCCTTATTAAACATAAAAGCTCGCTTCCCTATTGAGCGATATTATTTTTGATAAAAATAAAATACTTTAATGTATTTTTTTAAAGAAATTTTCCCCATTTTTTTGGAATTAAATTATGATACTAAATTAGTTTATATACAAATCTAAAGTTTATTAAATACGTAATTTATTTTAAAAAAGTTGAATTTTAAACTGTTTTTTTTATGCAAAAAAATAAGAAAAGAAAATGTGGCTAGAGTCTAGAGGTGAATAATCTCCCTAATTCGATAATTACGATTAAATGCCTGGTGTTTTATTTTTATTACCTAAAAAATTATATACTTTACAACAATGTACAGGATGTAAAGTAAGTGAAAATGTCCTTCGCACATTCTTAACAATTTCTTCCTGTTGTTAGTCGACATAATTTCTTAATTGAGTCGACTTTACAATTCAGGTAAAGATGCCTCTTCGCGTTCTTAAATTATACCACTTTAGCATGAATGGGTTAATGTACAGAGCTTAAAAGAATTTGAACTTTCTTGTTTACGTGTAAGATGAGTATAAGGACTGAAATTTTGTTGTAAGGAACCTCAAAAATTACTCTACAGATAATATTATGAAATGGAATACTTGTACACTACTTTCGTCACATTTTTATTGTAATGTACAAGTATTTTCATTAAATTTATGCAATTGCAAGTGTAGATTAATGTACACTTTCATTACATCAGAGTGGGGCCTTTGAGAGGGGAAAGTGGGGAATTTTTCCCTGAAAAATGGGAGCTACCTCTATAAATTAATGTTATTTTACTAACAAAAAATAAGATTAATAAAGAAAAAAGGTAAAAGGGCTCGCTAAAGAGAAAAGGCCCTCTCTTCCCCGGGCCCCATACGATTTCTCGACAGCTCTCAGACAGTGGAGCTTTATCCAATTGAAAAAAAGTGTAATTGCCTGGGCCCTTTGTTGATGGAGGTCCTAAACTAATCTTTTATAAACAAAAAATATTTCTCCAAAAACATTCCTCCGAAGAAAAATGTCTGAAGTCAACGCTGTAGACGGGACCTGTAATTCAAATTCGCCCGGGCCCCATGAAGATATAACGCGCCACTGTCCTCAGAGCCTGAACAGTTTTACAACTGGCTATTGATTTTTTGAAGTTTCTTACAACCGAATTAGTTCTAACACTTCTTTTCACACGAGCTTAAACGATGATAATTCACAAAATTATAATGTAAGTGAGCGTGAAGCCAATGATATTGACCTCTAATTCTCTGAAATAACAAATTTAAGAGAGAGTTTTGTTAAGAGAGGGATGCGAGGTGATAGTAATTCTTGGACACGATGTCAGGGAGTGTATCTGCGCATTCTCAGTACAGTTGTCTGGCAAGACGTCACTTGTAGCTCCACACGTGATTATTGTGTTCATGGATCTCTTTTCTCTACTTTCGCAGCTTGGACATGATAATAAGATTTTTTATTTTTAAAAAATAATTAAAGTGAATTAAAGATGGAAAATAAAGAAGATGGTTCCGCACCACAAACTGAAGTAGATGGACAAGAAGAGAATCGCGAAACTTGGAATAAAAAAGTGGATTTTCTACTTTCTGTCATCGGATTTGCAGTCGATTTAGCAAATGTCTGGAGATTTCCTTATCTTTGCTATAAAAATGGTGGAGGTATGTCATAAATATGTTAATTATTATACAGATTTCCATATGCATTAAATAAATACAGTAAATGTTTACAATGTAAGAAGTTTTGAGGATTTTTTTCTCTATAAGTCAATAGGTTAATTAATTAAATAATTGCCCCGTTATTTGCAGAGATAGAAATTAATTAAAGTGTAAATATAAATTTATTATATAGAAAAAATTTTTATTAAAAAAAACAATCAAATTTGATAAATATTTAAACACGAAAATAATATATTTTTTCTATGTTGCAAGTGAAGAATATCTTAAAGAAATTTATGCAAAAAACACTATATTATATTAAATTTTATGAGGAGGAAAAACTTACAAACTTTATGCAAATTACTGGCAAAAATAAGAATAAACTTGAGCAACTTTTGTAACTAAAAATTATCTTTATTTGTTAGATTTTAGTGTTTTTGGATAAATATAAACATGAAATAATGATAAATTTTATTATAAAAATTATCATTTAAATCTATAAAAATAATTTATTATTAAATTTCACTAAAATTCTGAAGAATGAGACGTCAAAATTATCAATTTTTAGCCATATAACTCGTGTTTTACATTTTAAAAAATCCATTGTAAAAACAGTAAAAAATGTTCTTTTAACTTTTATCAATGATTTATATTTACTTAATTTTAATTTATATTTAATCAAGAATTATATGTGATCAAGGATAACAGTAGAATATCATAGAGAAGATAATAGAGTAAATTATTACATATATGTCCTTGGTTAAATTTTGATCAGACATATTTTTTACATCATTACCATAGATGAAAAGAATAAACAAAATGGGAAAATAAATATTTAAAACGTGTAAATTTTATCATTTCCTATGGAAATTAACGTAAGAAATGAAGTGTAATTTTTATTATTTAATTCAAAAATTAAGGAGAATAAAGTGTAATTTTTTATCATCTGTTGTAAAAATTGGGGGCTAGTTTGAGCTATTTAATTAGAGAAATAATGTTTAACACGTAATATGCAAAGTTATTTGGCATCTATAACTTATTTTTTTTAATAAAAACCATTGTTCAATGCCTCAAAAATAATCGAATCACAGTTTAAAATATATAAAAGTTACTAATTTAAACATTTATTCCTATGTAAAATCTTTTGTAAACTGAATTATTTTCTGACAATTTAAATTTCCTGTTTCCCTCTTCTAATTAATACATACGAAACTTATAAAGAACATTAAATTATTCCGGAAGTTAGACTTAAGTAACTGTCATCCCATCAAAAATTATCTTTAACAATTCTGTTATTAAAATTTATTGTTTAAAATATCAAATTTTATTTTAAATAAAGTATATGTTTATTTAATTATTAAAAAGTTATACTTTAAAGCAATTTTGATCGTTTAATTTCGTTTTAATTAAGAATTTTTTATTAACTTCTCAACCTTTATTATTTCGAGTCGAGCCAACAATACGATTTGTAACTTCGTTCGGGGTACGCGATCTACCGATTGAGAATCTTTTTTTGAGAAGAAACACTTTTTATGCTTTTAATTAAATTATAATTTATTAAACGGGATTATAATTATAATTATTTAATGTAACCTTTGCCAGCTTGTAGATTAGATTCGTTATTTTATATTTAAAGCGATTTAAATCTAAATAATTATGTACATTTTTTAAGGTATTTGAGGTCAATAGTGATGATTTCACGCATTCATTTCTATTTTTAAAGCAATAAAATGCTTCGAAAATGCAATAAAACTTTTAAGAAATAAATCTATAAACCACACGCAATAAAAACGACTACAATTTTTTACTTTTTTGATTTTTTCTATCGAACTCCACACCGAATTTTAGTTCACTCGTGACAAATTCGAGTGAACAAAACGTTTTCTCAAATGGAAATTCTTTGAAAGAATTTAAATAAACTTGACTATGATTATAATATTATATACAGTATTTAAATCCACAAAATTTGTTTTCGAATCATTTAAAATATTCGCATTTCAAGCCACTTTCTTTTTTTATTTAAATCCCTTGAGTTTTTGTGGTTTTTTTTAACCTAATATGGACAATTTTCATTATTAAATCTATACCAAAGTGTTTTTATATTATATTTTTAAAAAGAAAATTTAAAAAATAAAAGAAATTCACACTCATTTCCATACTTTTTAAAGTAAAAAGTTGTAAAATTCACCGTAAAATGAAGAATCATTTTAAAACATTTATTTACTGTAAAATACAAGTGGTACAAAAGTCAGTTAACCGAAATATATATATAAATTTTAAGTACAGTTAAAATCAGTGGCCAAATGGGTACTGAATACTGGTCACTGGTTCGTATCTTACTAACGAAGTGACCACGCGGAGTTTCGTATTTAACACCTAAATATCGAGCCAATTTTCCCTAGAAAGTCCTCACGATCCGTAGAAAAATATCTCGGTTAATTGACTTTTGGACAGCCCTGTATATTTTGCATTTTTTTTTTTTTATATACTTAACTGAAAGTGAAAAACATTTTCTGTCTTGTTCTTTTAACAAGAGTTCAATGGAAGGACTTTTTAATTTAGTAAATTTCAAACAGATTTAAAGAATGTATATAATATTAAATAATTCCAATGGAGCTTTTAACATGAATCGAAAGGCTTCGTTGGAGCATATTACGTTCATTTGAAAAAATTCGAGCTCGAATGGACAAACTTTTTACAAATGTTATCGCTAAGAAGTCGACTAACAGCCTCGGGGATTCAAAAATACTTTCTACTTTTAATAAATTCTAGGGTTATACAACTCCACACTACAATTTAGTTTATTAAAAATGAGAACGAATTACGTTACACTGTATTTATTAAATAAATACCGAATTTACAATCACAATTGTCTGTAATACTCAATCAATTAAGAACTATCATTATCCAGGATGTCCGTACTGAAATGCCAATAGTTGAAGTCTACTTATAAGGACATTATAAAGGACTATTCATTATATAATATCATTTATACAAACCCCTATATAGTGCCCTCCTCGATAGTGCGAATTTCGTGAAGCACCAACGGATACTCTGAATGGATCTTCCTCGATAGAGATGATCTGAATAGAGAAGACTTTTCAACATCTTTAAATGTACTAAATGCACGATTTTACATTGCAAACCGGTTGGGTTCCCCTCCCGATCAACAGGCTGGCCACGTGGAGTATACCGGGGTTTTTCGCGTAAATAACGGTCACTTTCCTTTAGAAAATACTTCCGGAAGCACAACCTTTTGGCAACTTTACTTTAGAGCCATATTCGATATACTGCCGATATCAAAGGCGAAAAAAAGGGATGGCGCTAATCCGAGGTTTGAATGCTTAGCCATTAAAGATTACTAATATTTATTAATAATACTCAATTTTAGTTGTATTATACGATCCAGCAAGATAAGGACTACTAAGAACGAAGTTTAATTTATAAAATCTCATTTAACCTCTTGTAGCGTTGAAACAATATCTTTGAATGGTAGTGCTTATGAACATTTTCGGGTCCTCTAGGCCTTTAGAACACGCTATAAATTATTGTCTCTATTTTGCGGAACATTCTTCTGTATGCATATTGTATACGTGGTGTCCCTTAAGTCTAGAACAATGGGAGTTATGTTGATATTTATTCTTTTACAGATAAAAGCATGGCGTCAAGTAAGGAGGAATAAATTCGTTATTTTGATGGTTAAATTCTTCGTCAACTTCATATTGATTACGGGCTCCTACCATTAAAATCATTTGAACTCGTTCTTCCTTACTTAACACCATGCTTTATCTGTAAAAGGATAAACAAAGATAAAAATTTATTTACTGTATATTTAATAAAATATATATAAAAACCAGTAAATATATTTGATTTAAAGAGTTAAAATGTGTTATTTATGTATGTATTAATGAAATTTTGTTGCTTAAAATATCAGTTTCTCAGAAATTGCATTCATCAACAGTCATTCGGATCAGGACGAATACATTAGTGTCATTAAAAAAACCAATTAGGCCTATATACAGTGTATATAAATATATATATATACACTTTAAATTAATAAATATACATTATAGTCATTTAATGGCTGATAATGTTTTTGTTTCTTGTTTCGATCATTTTGGAAAATTGATGAGACAATCAACAGTATTCTTCTTGTACCTCATCCGTCATTTTTCGTGTCACGTATTAAGCAAAGTCATAGGAGTGTAGCGAAAAATCAAACTCTGTGAAATTATTAAACTACTAAAAGTGTTTGACAAGTGTGAATATTTAATATGAGCATGTTTTTTGGTGCTTAAAATTATACATTTTCCAAAAAAAAATGACGAAAGATTTTTATATAGAAACTACAAATTATCTTTAGTATTTATAGAAACAAATTTAAATTTATGAAAATACATTAAAATAAGAGTTAAATAATCAAATTTAGGAATAAAATATTAAGTACTTTTTTTATTTTATCCATTTTCGTGTCTTTACTGTTATGGTAAAAGTATTGATTTTCTCAGGACAATCACTTATGATTGTCATTTTATTGTTATATAATTTTCCTATATCGTGATATATTATTAAAGAAAAATAAATTTTTTTATATATTATGTAAATATTATATAACATTTAGAAATTTTAGTATTGGATTTTTCATGTATAGATCCACATACTGTATTGGTAGTATAACAGTATAGAATGAAAAGTGTTGTGAATAGAATAATAAAAACATTAGGAAGGTGGTTCTAATGTCAAAAACATCTTATTTCTGGATTCAGTTTTGTTGTTCTTATAAATCGAGAGAGTCACAACAACTTTTCTTGTAGACTTAATGCATTTTTCATGAAGAAACTTTTATCTACCGAAAACAGGTGTCTTTCCAAGTCAAGACATAGCTTAAACTATCCAATACTGATTTTATACTTAACAACTATTTAATTTACTAATTTTTATCACTTATTTTTTTGTATATATATCATAAAATATACATTAAAAATTACTTTAAAACTTTTTAATCATATACAACAATATAGTGCTTTAAACACTTAACAATACTGATATAATACTTTTCACAAGTATTTGGCGAATGTACATGTAATTTAAATGTCTTTAACAATATATTCAAGTTTACAGGCTGATAAATTAGTTACAGTGTTAGTATTATTTAAAATATATACAGTAAATAATAGATACTGATATACACGCACACACACGAATCTATGTAGAGAAGGCCATTTGGTCTAGCCATATACACATAGATCCCCAAAAATACTTTACGTAAAATGATACAGAAGTGATATAAATTAAACATTTTGTAATTGTCTGGTTTTGGTAAATATTTGTGATTGTCTGGCTTTGTCTCTCAGTCCATATATTACTATACAGTATATAGGGACTGAGAGAAAAAGCTAGGGTCTGATATATATATTAAAATATTTCTTTACCTTAAGTTAATGCAAAAATGTAGAGTTCGCTTGATTTCTTGATATTTTAGTACAGCACTGAAGATGAAGAGCAGCGACATTGAAGCTTTTCCTCATCGCTTGTGTGTCTTTGCAGAGCAGCATCTTAAGGAATAGCTAATCTGAACTTTAACCCCTCCTACTTATAAAACAATGTGTTTGAAGGATTGTGTTTATAAGATATTTTTGAATCGCCATGCCTCTACAACACTCTGTAAAATTATTGTCACTACCTCTCCAAACATCCCGCATGAAGAATTTATATAATTTTAAAAATTATACTAAATTTAAATTTTATAATAATTTTCATTTATTTATTCATATCCGTTAATATAACCTAGTGTTAAATAAATAATTTACAAAATTTTAGAACTTATAAATAATATAATAAATTAGTTTTAAATTTCAACATTACATAAGCTTAAGTTATAAATTTTATTTAATAACATTATATAACAATATTCTGTTATTGTTTGGAAGAAAGTAAATAAATAAATTAAACTTTCTGTTAAATATTCCAATAATTTATTAAATAATTTAGAAAATTATATTTACTAAGTATTGCCTTTTTATCTAGATTACAAAATAAATGAAGTTTGTGTAGATACAATGGAATTAAATTAAAAATTATGGATTCAAAATTATTTAATTTCGAGATAATTATTGGCACTAAATATATTTCAAAATGTTCTTCTTTTATATCTAGAATAATATTTTATATAATAATATTATATATATTATGTTAATTATTAAACCTTTGTTATATTAATAATGATAAGACAATCACTTGTATATATTGCAGATAATAATTAAACTTTTTGAATTTTTATTATTTTTAATTAATTTAATTAATAATGTGAAAGTGTGGAGAATATAAATTTCGGTGTCTTCTTTGAAGTGTAATTTTTCATATTGTCCTACATCTCATCGATAAAGCTTTTGTATGAAATTCTATGCAATAGTATCAAAAATTAAACTATTTTATATATAAATGTCCAATATAATTCTTGTTAAATACCTGAATTACAATGCTTTAACATAGTTTCACAAGTTACTAAATTGTTTGCAAGCAACAGAGTTAGACTAACTTTTGAACCACTCTGTGTTATAAAATATTAAAATTTTTATAGATAGCTTAAAGCTTTTCAGTTATAAGCTAATAATAATAACAATAACCAGAACAATTTTTAAATATTAACTTTCAATTATGCATGTTATTATATTTCAATATTATAAAATAACAATATTTATCTATTGACAATTGAGTATCAGTTTCAGAAAGATGTTTTCCATCACAAAATGCTTTTGTTTAAATTAATAAGTGACAATTTTACTATTAATATTTCAATCAATTAACAATAAATCATTAAATTTTTAAAAATATTTCAATGAATTAATAAGAATCTGAACAGTTTTTAATCTCTTATAAATCTATCTTCATTTATTTGCAAGGTCACATTAAATTTTCAATTTTTTAAGCCGAAAAGGTGAAAAAAAAACTATTTTATATTAATTTATATTCAGGTAATTTTTTTTAAATCTACATATAATAGTTTTTAAATATTAATTGATGTTCATTTATAATTTAAAATAATTTATTTTCTTGATAAGTTTGTTGAAACTTTTATAGAATAAAGGACATAAATGACTATTATATTTGCCAAGTAATTAATTAACAGAATGACAATTAATAGATTTTTAATTAATGGAAGAAAAGTAAATTATGCAAACCAAATGAAATTATTTATTATCAATATTATTGTCTGAATGAATTATTAAAATTTTCCAAATGAAATTTTAATTATGCAAATATTAATGAAATATGCTTTATATATTCATTACTATTTTATAAATTTATATTCTTATTGACTTTACTTGTTTCAATTGCTAATAAAAATAAAGAAAATATTATAGAAAAATACTTTTTATCAAGCTATTTTTCTCTCTCATCATTTTTATATAATCCTCATCATCACATCTTCATTATCTTATAATCATGCGCTGGTATATTAATTTCAATTGATCTAAAGGTGAAAACAAAGTTTTTTGTTATTAAAAACTGCATATTTTATAAAATTTTATGTAATTCTACATACTACTTACTTAATCTCTTATTAAATCTTGTTACTCTCTTTATAGATTACTTTAGTATATAGTCACTAAAACTTTTGAATTTGCAGTCGAACTGATCGATATATATCGAGTCTACAAATTAACTGCTCGATAAAATAGTATTTAATTGTGTATGAGTACGAAGAGTTATTAGAATAAAGTGAAGAATGATCAGGAATCCAAATATTGTTAAATTTATTGAAAATATTTGAATTAATTGTACCTCATCCGTCATTTTTCGTGTCACGTATTAAGCAAAGTCATAGGAGTGTAGCGAAAAATCAAACTCTGTGAAATTATTAAACTACTAAAAGTGTTTGACAAGTGTGAATATTTAATATGAGCACGTTTTTTGGTGCTTAAAATTATACATTTTCCAAAAAAAAATGGACGAAAGATTTTTATATAGAAACTACAAATTATCTTTAGTATTTATAGAAACAAATTTAAATTTATGAAAATACATTAAAATAAGAGTTAAATAATCAAATTTAGGAATAAAATATTAAGTACTTTTTTTATTTTATCCATTTTCGTGTCTTTACTGTTATGGTAAAAGTATTGATTTTCTCAGGACAATCACTTATGATTGTCATTTTATTGTTATATAATTTTCCTATATCGTGATATATTATTAAAGAAAAATAAATTTTTTTATATATTATGTAAATATTATATAACATTTAGAAATTTTAGTATTGGATTTTTCATGTATAGATCCACATACTGTATTGGTAGTATAACAGTATAGAATGAAAAGTGTTGTGAATAGAATAATAAAAACATTAGGAAGGTGGTTCTAATGTCAAAAACATCTTATTTCTGGATTCAGTTTTGTTGTTCTTATAAATCGAGAGAGTCACAACAACTTTTCTTGTAGACTTAATGCATTTTTCATGAAGAAACTTTTATCTACCGAAAACAGGTGTCTTTCCAAGTCAAGACATAGCTTAAACTATCCAATACTGATTTTATACTTAACAACTATTTANAAATTATGATAATTAATATATAATTGTAATGAAGAAAGATTTGTCATAGTATGTATACACTTTTCTAGAGTTTACTCTTCATCCAAGTACTAATGGCTACTTACACAGTTTACAGGGATATATACAGTACATTCTAATTCGACCTTCTTAACACTGTACGTGGAACCTCCTAATTCAAATTGCCTGGGTACCATAAAATTATAATGCATCAATTCTCCTAGAAGCGTATTGCTGGCTTTCACTACACTCCAGAGTTTGCAATATTATAAAAGTCACACTGTTCTAGATACACACGATGTTAAATATTACAAAGTATAAGCAAAAATTAAACATTTTTCTGATACTATTTCGTACATACTTTTTATAAAACATAATTTATTTTTAGGAGCTTTTCTTATACCCTACTTGATCATGCTTTCGGTAGGAGGTATTCCTTTGTTTTTTATGGAACTGGCATTGGGACAGTATAACAGGAAAGGTGCCATTACATGCTGGGGGAGGATAGTACCACTTTTTAAAGGTAAGCGAAAAATAAATTACCATTTTTATTAAGTAATATTTCTTAACTGAAACGCAACGAATCGAATATTTTCAACGAAGATAATTGCTTCGTTAGTAGTTTTATTATCGTTTTACAATCATCAATTCGTTCTCGGCCATTAAAAATGTCGATCGAGTTGGTCATTAAATCAAATATTTCCGTCACGGACGGATTGCCATTATTGGTCCCACGTGACATATGAACTTTGGATAGCTAACGACCGAAGAATTAATCTGTTCCTTACTTTCCACCCAGGTGGTTAATGATAGGACGCTTCCTATCTTAAACGTCACTAAATCTTGCTGGGAAAACTTAAGAGGATTAACCCAAATAACTTGTCGTTTATTCATCTCCTCGCGAGCTTTCATAATCAGTTCGGATTTTTGTCCATTATAGTTAAATTTCGATAAGATTTCACGCTCATCCACGTGTGACATTTCTTCCTCCTTCATAAAAGAAAAATCGGAAAAAAATGGCTTCCCTCTTTCGCTTTGATTATTGTAAAAGCTCCGAGTTAAACTGTTAATTTCTTGTAACTCCTCGAATGCCACGCTCAAAGGGCAGGTTTTTCACTGATCGAAAACGCATTTACGCGCGAGGATCAATTCGAAAAGCCATATCGATCATGTGACTTGTCCAAAGGGAGGATTTTTTTTCCTATTGCTACGTTTTACTCTTTTAAGTAATTAAATAGCAATTCCCCGATAGGGAATTTTCTCGACACGTTTACGTTTATTGTTGTTAAATTATCCTTCGAGATTTACCCTCCGAATAACATCCAATTTTTACTTCCAAAAAAATTCCAGGGTTTTCTTTATGTAAGGATGCTTGTGTGTGTGAGCTCTTTGCAGCTTAATAAATATTGTGGTTTTTGTCGAAAATTTCTGAAATTTTGCAGGGTGGTTTGTGTATTACGGGGATTGATGATATTAAATTTTGGTGGTTAAAGGTCGAGAGAGTGGGGAGGTAATGGGAGTCGTATGTATCTCGAGTAGGGTGACGATTTTACTCGTAATTAGCATTCACAATTTTTTTTTTATAAAACCCATACCTACCCTCAAAATTAAGGTTTTTGCCATTTTATAATAGTTAAGAATATAAAAATATTTTAAAATAAAATATCATAAGAGATGGAGCCACCAGAATTTTAAATATTGCCGAGAAAGTTAAGCAACTCTTTTCCTGGATTTTTTCTAAATTATTTTCTATTCTTTATTCCTAGAGGATACTAGACAAGGATACTTTAAGATGTATTTATATAAATTTAACAAATCCGTAATAAATTATCTGTAAAAAATTAAATTTTAATGTCTTATACACTATTTAATCAAATTTGACGTAGTGTTTTTATAGTAAGAAGTACCATTTTTGCTATTTATTATTATTAATTCTGTAATCAGTATTAATTGTAGAATAAGCTTATAATTAGAAAATATTCATTTATACATCATTATTTTCATATTTAGGTGTCGGATACGCTGTCGTTCTCATAGCTTTATACGTGGATTTCTATTATAATATCATCATTGCATGGGCACTCTACTTCTTTTTCGCATCGTTTACAAAACAATTGCCTTGGACAAGCTGTAACAACGAATGGAATACAGATAATTGCATGGAAGTTGATTCTAGTCTGACTGGATCCAATAATATATCACAATTTGATTATCAGTTATTTCTATCAAACGATACCAACTTCACCCAAAATGAAATCATCATTTCTTCTCCAAAAAATCAATCTAGAAGCTCACCCGCAGCTGAATATTTCAAGTAAGTCTGTTTTTTCACCTATAAAAGTACATTTACAATCACAAAAAGAGTTGAATTATTTTAAAAAAAACGATTGGAAAAAGTATGAAATTCGATCAATGGATTCAATCGTAAATAAATATAATGGATTAATCTAAAAAATTAAGGTTATAATCTGCCTTCGATCTATTTTTTAAGCACGCTAACAAAGTGATTTCATAATTTAATCGCTACGAACGGGTAAAGTTGCATTAAAGGCGGTTTAAAGTTCATTAATCGATCAAATTTTGTTAGTAAGTCCTGAAGAAACCCATCCATCACCAGAAAACCAGAAAACGTTACATGTAGACAGGCATAAAACTAATCCACGTGGAAAAATCCGACAAATGATAGCTGATAACATCTGTTACAATTCCTGTAGGTGACCCACTAGTGATCGAAACCACAAAATTGCCCACTTTTTATAATACAGTAAAACCTGTTCAAAACGGAAACCTGCCAAACTGGAAAAAAAAATATTCCGTACCGTGCTAGTCCGATTTACACAGGTTTTACTGTGTATCTTCACGAAGTAGACTATGATATTTAAAAAAAAAACTGTGAGGATGGCCTAAAAAGTCAGTTAACTGAGATATATATTTAGATTAGTTTAAGAACTTAGCTGACTGAATAACTGACTTTTGGGCCACCCTTTACGTTTATTAATACAGAAATTTAATTTATTTTTTCAGTCGAGCAGTGTTAGAATTACATAAAAGTCAAGGTATAGACGGTTTAGGTGTTGTAAAATGGGATATAGCTCTATGCCTCCTCGCTGTTTATATCATTTGCTATTTTAGTTTGTGGAAAGGAATATCCACTTCTGGTAAAGTAAGTAGATTTTACTTAAAATTATTTTTTAATTAGTATTTTAATAATTATAAATTGTAAAAATATAATAAATTAGACGTATTAAAATAACTTGCTATTTTTAAGCTTACTAAGCATTAAATTATATCATTTTTAATAAAATATAACACTATATTATTCCTTACTTTATACATTTTTATATAGTTTAGCCTTTCAGAAATGTCAAAATATTAAGATAAATATATATATTATTTAAAATAAGCTTTGAATTAAAGAAAACTTTTAAAAAAATCTACTGGAAAAGATACAAATATTTTTTATCTGGACGAGGATATATAGAGAGGAAAATAGGAGAAGATATTCGACGAGGGTCACGTGACGAGTTGGAAGAAGTTTTTAGAGTGTGAGTGAATAGGAGAAAGAGTATTCAAGCTCAGAACTGAGGCATCAGCAGAGGAGAGGGAAGTCCGCATGTCGTTAAAGCGTTTTAATTGGTCAGAAGAGAAGGAAGTAAGGGAGAGTGAGTTTCCATGTCTTGATCTTCCGGATTTATGTAATTATGTGACTTTTTCTTCTAGACAGCCAATTCTCTTCTTTCATTTTATTTACCATTCATTGCTTTTTTTCTCTTCCCGATAATTTGCCACTTCCTGAAAATGATGGATTGATTCTTTTCCTAATTTTCTACACATAATATATCGTTTTACATATTAGAAATGAGCATTTGAATTTTATCGTGCCCTATATAATTTAAATACCTCGTTCAGATCACTAGTAGATGGAAAAAAGAATTAAATTTATAATATATTTTCTACACGAGTAAGGAATAATATAACTTACATTAATGTGCGAATAAAAATAATGCTTGTTATTCTAAATAATAAGCTCTATCCATCTATTTTAAGGTAGTGTGGTTCACTGCACTCTTTCCCTATGTTGTTCTCTTCATTCTTCTCTTTCGGGGTATCACTCTTCCGGGAGCTGCCGAAGGAATCAAATTTTATCTAACACCCAATTTTGCGGCACTAGCTGATGCCAATGTAAGTAATATTTTCATATCTACAAAATACGCGTTTTACGTATAAAAATTGCTTGATAAGATGTAAATAATAAATCTAAGTATTAATATATTTTTATATTACGAGTCATTTTACTGGATGCGATGAATACAGTAAAGTACAGCAAAAAAAACCACGCGATTATTACTCGTAAAATATCTCAGTCATTTGATTGTTTAGTTCCATATTTTGTCATTCGTGTACTTGATTTAAAAATTTTTAAAAATTAGAAATTTATTTTTCAACTTTAAACATGCTTGAATGGGAGAAAATGTCTAAAAGTTTCTCGAATCTTTCGACAGATGGAGCCATTTAACAGTAACGTTTCCTTGTTGCTTACCTATGTGTTAAAATTAAACTAATTTAATCAATGGCCAATTTAAAAAAGTTAATAAAATCAGTTAATAAAAGTAAGTCTTAATTGATAAAAATTAATTCCGCTGAGTGTTTTCCATACGTTTTACTTAAAATTACTTAATATTTGAGACCTGGCGTAAGTCGTGAGCTCATTACTTATCGGTTAAAGAACATTATTCTAGATAAATCAAATATTCTAGAATGTTTAAATCTGAATGAACCATTTCTAAAACCCATAAACGTTTTTAGGAGTTTGCATTTCTGATTTTTAATCTATTGCAATAAGAGGAAGGGAATGCATTCAAGATGACAAACGTGCATTGTTATAAAGGAAAAACTATGCATTGTTTTAGAGGAAAAGTATGTATTGTTTTCTAAACTATCTAGAGGAAAAGATGCATTGTTGTAAAGAAAAACTGTGCATTGTTCTAGAGCAGCGTTTCTCAAAGTGGGCGATAACGCCCCCTTGTGGGCGCTGGAGGCTTTCAGGGGGGCAGTAGAAGGCTCAAAAAGAATTGGGGGGCGTTAAGGAAATATAGAGGGGCGACGGCAGACAAATTCTATATATAAAAATTCGACGGAATATATATAAAATGTTGACATTTTATATATTTTTTATTTTTTATTGAAGGTCACAACTTGAATATTTCTAACACATTGACTTTTATTTTAGCTCAGCGTTTCTCAAAGTAAGCAATAACGTCCCCTTCTTGGCGATGAATAGATCTAGGGGCGCTGGAGGCAGGGTATTGAACGGTGATTAAACGTAAAATTGGGGATGATAAGAGGAAACATTGCATTTAATGGTTTCCAGATGATGAGAACAATGTAAAGTAAGGGCACAAAGTGTGAGATTCATAGAAAAGTTTTCCTAAGAATATTTCCAATCCTTTTCTCACACAAGAGAAAATGGGTTAGGGGGCGTTGGGTATAACTTTATGGAACAAAAAGGGCGGTGGATCGAAAAAGTTTGAGAATCACTGTTCTAGAGGAAAAGTATGAATTGTTCTAGAGCAATAATTATGCATTGTTCTAGAGGAAAAGCATCATTTAACAAATCATATATTCTCCTTTAATGTTAGACGTTAATTTTCATCAACTAAATCAAAACTTTTTATGAGTTTTGTTACAGACTTTCTGCGTAAATTAAAAAAATAACGTAATTTTCTATGAAACACGCAATTAAATTCGACTGCTTTAACAAATCAAATGCTCAGAAATGCAGAATCCGATAATTTGGATCGAAATTATCGAGTTAATTTTCATACAACTTGACATTTTTAATCTTTATAATTAGGCAACATTTTATCACTATACACTGTTCTACAACATAATTCAAAAGTCTCCATGCAAAACAGACACCCGAATAAATGCGCTTGTAGTGCACATACTCACATTAAATCAGATATTTTAACACGAGTGGAGGAATATACGTGCGTTAATTAATCACACTCACATAGATCATATTCTGTGACTACATAATAAGATCTACGTATAAAAGCTTACGAACATCCTGTAGATGTGCAGAACGTGGCTTTCGTCTGCTTTATTTTAAAATATCACTATTAAAATGCTTCTGTAGACTCTATTTAGCAAGTTTTAGAAGAAAATTTACAATAAACATTTAAAAATTTAATCAAATTAAGGTGTGGGTGGATGCCGCAACTCAAGTTTTCTTTTCACTTGGACCCGGATTTGGTGTTCTTTTAGCATTCGCCAGTTACAACAAATTCCATAACAACGTTTACAGGTAACTTTTTTATACAATTATTTTTTACCGAATGCTATCGTAAAAATTAAAATATATTTATAGGGATGCACTGATAACGAGTGCAGTGAATAGTGCCACCAGTTTCTTATCTGGATTTGTCATATTTTCTGTCCTGGGTTACATGGCTCAAAAAGGAAACGTCGAAGTAAAAGACGTGGCTACCGAAGGTACATTGAAATATTTTAAAATAATTCTACAAGAAAACGTATTTAAAACGTATATTTTAACTCTTGCAGGTCCAGGATTAGTGTTTATTGTATACCCAGAAGCCATAGCCACAATGCCATGGTCTGGATTTTGGGCTGTTATATTCTTTCTTATGCTTTTAACTCTTGGACTGGACAGCTCGGTAACGTTTCTTTAAAATAATTTTGATATATTTTATGTAATTTCCTAAATTATTATCCAAATTATCTTTCAGTTTGGTGGTTCTGAAGCTATTATAACAGCATTGAGTGACGAGTATCCAAAACTAAAGAAAAATAGGGAATTATTCGTTGCTTGCCTCTTCACGCTTTATTATATAATCGGTTTGGCAAGCTGCGCTCAGGTAATGTATAAGCATCGTGTTAATATGCAGAGCCATCGAAAGCGTGGTACGGGGCCTGGAATAGAGCGTGTCCTTTTTGCCCCTTAGGGAAAAAGAAATTCCCAGCTTCTCCCTCCCGACGGCCTTGTCAATATGAATAATAATAAACTAACCCTTACATTCTGGGGCGTTATCCTATAGGCAAAAAGGGCAATTGCCTGGGTCCGAAACCAATCTTTTATCAACTCATCGCTGTAGTAAGAATATCGAAATTTAAATTTGGCGCTATATCCGAGGACCCTAAATTGTCGATGCGGCGCAGCGCAGAACTTACAAATACAGTATAATTATTCTGTGTGCATGGTTATTTGTAGCAATTTTAAAACTATATTTTTGATATTTTTATAACGTTCTGAATACATATTTAAGGGTGGTGCTTATGTGGTGCAGTTACTTGATAGATACGCTGCAGGATATTCCATACTTTTTGCAGTTTTCTTCGAAGCTATTGCAGTTTCTTGGATTTATGGTAATTACATCGATAACATTCATACTAATTAATTAAAATAGTTTCAATTTAATCTGTATACTAATAATTTGATTAGGTATTAAGCGGTTCTCTCAAGATATTTACGAAATGTTAGGATTCGAAGTTGGAAGATGGTGGAAATTTTGTTGGATGTTTGTAGCACCCTTCTTTATTCTGGTTAGATCTGTACTTATATTTTCATTCGTGTATTTAAAAAATATTTCGTAAATAACTTTTCCTTTTGTATTTTCAGTTTATTATAGTTTATGGTCTGTCTAGTTACGAACCGTTGACTTACGAAGATTACGTTTATCCAACATGGGCTAACGTTTTAGGAATGGCAATTTCAGCCTCGTCTGTTTTATGTATACCAATTATGGCAGTTTGGCAAATTTTTCACACACCCGGAACACTTAAACAGGTTAAATCTTAAAGTTTTTATATAATTTAATCAAAGAAATGTTTTGATTCCTATACTTTCTTAAAATTATAAATTATATTCAAGAGATTCTCTAGATAATGGAGAAGTCGTAGATTCTGTAATCGGCAAACAATTGAATATTAATGTACAAAATATTAGGTATATAAATCTGAATATAGTCAAACATCTGAACAATGGCCACTGATAAGAACATAAAAAAGCCATTGTTTAAAGGTTATTATATATAAACTTTTGTTTTAAAAATGACTGTATAAATATAAAATACAGTATACATTTTACATACATGTTCTAGAATCTAGAGATCTTAATAATCTCAATTTTTAAGATTTCTATAGGTTTATAGAATGTCTAGAAGTCTTGAAGCTTAAATTTTAATGTATAATAGGTTATTTTTCTTTATTTTTTCAGAGATTTACTTTCTTGATCACACCTTGGAGAGACAGTAAATGCTGTGAAAGCATCACTCCAGAAGTGCAACAAACCAAAATCCCATGTCAGAATATTCCTCCTACAGCAGTGTGACATATTTTTTCATGTTATTTATGACTTCAGGACACATATTTTGTTGTATTGTAATTCCTAAATTAACAAAGACCATATTTCTACTTCTGAGTAGAAGTTATAATCAATGTTCACTCTTTGTAAAAATCTACAAAAAAGTTGTAAATTTTCATCAAAAAAAAGTTCATCTTTTAAATATATTTTACTTAAAACATCTTGACAAAGTCAGGGATTCTATAATTAGCAAACAATTGTTATTTTAAATATTATTGTACAAAATATTATATAAATATATATATATTTCAATATATAAATACTGAAAATTGTTATGTTAAATATATATATATAGATATATTTATTTTATTACTGAAAATAAATAAAAATGAAATATTATAAATCTAGTCAAAGATGAAAAAATTATATAATTTTTATTAATTTACATTTAATTAATTATCAAATTTTATCACAACAAAGCAATAATAGGCCTATTTATCTTTCTGGCAGTAAATTTTTGTATAGAATATTATTTGAAACAGTTTACAATAGTAAAAAATATATATTTAACTATTTTAAATTGAATAAACAATAGGAAAAATTACAAAAAATATATATTTTCTTGCCGAATATTACACAGGTATTGATATATACTGAACAAGAGAGTACTATTTTGCAACTTAACACAATTAGATGTGTAGATAAAGTCAACAATTTCTAGTTTGTATAGTGTTAAATGTTTAATTAAAAGCCAAACATGAATGTGTTCAATATTTAAATTGTCCATAAAAAAATGTTATTAAAAAAATTCAATTGTTTGTGATGTGTATATGTTTATATATACATATATAAATATTATACAAATATATACATATATGTATACA